TCAGCTACCTTTATTTCAGTGGAACCCATAAAATATCTGTACCGAATATTTCTGCTCCCTGCATGGATTACCTTACATTTATCTGTGTTAAATTCAAAAGAGATTCTAATCCAGAATAAAATTTCGTCCTGCACGGGAATTGTATCCAACTGTTCTTTAAAAAAAATAAAAAATCTCGCTTTGTACCAAGAGCTAATACAGGAATTTATCGTCCTTTTATATTCTATGGGAATTCAGTCGTATTTTATACCAAATTCCAAAAAGTTTCAGTTCAAATCGTTTGCACGTTCAACCCATTTACTTAGGAGTCATGCGTTTCCTGACAGAAAAGTTTCAGTACGGACTGAGGGTAAGGTAACACGCTATTGTCACGTGATACATTTTAGACCACAGTTTATTAACTTTCGTTACGTTTACGTAACGAAAGAATCGTTTACGTCAGCTGAGAATAAGTATATATAGATAAAATAATTTTATTCTTATTAATCACAAATTTCTTTTTATTATCCATTTGCATTTGTAGGGCGTATTAGTGGAACCATGTGCTTTCGATGTATCGATTGCTAGGGGACCGTATATTGTGTGCACATTTCCCGTTTGTGGGAGTTAGTGGATTAAGGTTTTTTAGAATTCCATTTTGCTGAATATTTTGTCGTGTAACTGGGTATTGTATAGTCTGCTGGTTTGCAAATATTTAAATGAAAGTGTAAGGTAGGTTTCTAAATATTTATACGTTTTGACGACGTTTGGTCAAACATTTCTTTGCGGCAAGAGATTTTCAGTTGTTTTAAACGCAACAAGATAATTAGCAGCAAAATACTTATGATACAACTTAGCTAACTTATTTTGGCACAGTGATTTGTATTAATATTCTGTTGTCATTCTCTTTACACCAGAAGTTAGTCGCAGTTTAGGTGGTTTGGCTAATTGGTGCGTGCTAACACATTAAACGGATATGTGTCAGGAATTGCAGTTAATTTCTGAATTTAAGAACGCCCCTTTTAAAATGTCACTAAGTACTTAACAATGGTCCTTGTTATTCAAAGAAACGGAATTGTTAGTTACGTTGTATTTCAGTTTTCGGGTCATTTTCGCATACTACCATATTTGTTGAAACTTTATATATTACGTATCCTTTCCGTAGTTTTCGAAGCATTAGTCACACAACAATTATATATATATATATATATATATATATATATATATATATATATTATTATTATTATTATTATTATTATTTCCTTTGTTTTGTCTTTAATCTCACGTTATTGATTAAGATGAAAATTTTATTAAGGAAAACACGGGGACGCTTTGATTTTCCTTTCAAGTGTCTCGGTATATGTAATGTTTCATGTAATTGATAATACAGACAACACTGCTAAAATACATCCCGTTACCCATTTTGCGAATTTGATCTTTTCCGGCGTCTTGGTCTAAATGTTTAGCTGCTTTCATCTGACCATTTCATTCCTCCTATGGCTAATTAGGCAGTACGCTTTCTTGTTAAGACCATAACTAAAAAAAAATATTTGATGGATCACTTTCAAACTTTGCAGAGGCTTTGTATCCGCGGCAAACTGGAACTAGCCCCAAAACAGATGCAGTACCGCATACTGATGACAAAAAAAGTCAGTTTTGACATTTGATTCTGCTAAAATCTGTACCCCAATTTTGAGACAAATCACACCAAAACTGTTGCAACAGTGTTTAATAACAGCAAAGGGAAGGATGAGATGAGTTTTATTATTGTGAACAGGACAATCCTATTTCTATATTATTCTATTTATTTATTTTTTTGATGGATTTCACTATCACTTACAAGATGGATGAAAATGTACTAGAGATGGACCGATTATATTGGCCAACTATTGGTATCGGCTGATACAGCAACAATTGGCCATCGGCCAATGGTTAAAAGTGAACCGATATTATTGCTGATTTCTTTTAAAATGGTGATCATTATTGCTTTGCATATCTGTGTACTAAAGTTAAAAAAATGTCTGCTGTGTGGAATTATTTTAATGTTAGCGAAAACAACATTAGAAATGCATTTTGCAAGCATTGCTCAGCTAAAATTTCATGAGAAGGATCTACTAAAAACATTTAAACAAATCAAATTTGATTGCTCACTTTAAAGTGAGACAGTGAAGAGTTTTAAGAGTTTCCGAAATACAAATCTGTTCCAATAACGAAGGCTGCAGTACTGCTGAAGAATGGTAGTCTGTCAGCAATGCAAGCATTTGATAGAAAAAGGAATTTCAATGCAGACAGTGCGAAATCAAAAGATATTGCTTGGAAAATTATAGAGTTCATCACACTTGATGATCAGCCCTTTGTTATAAATGTTATATAAGATGTTTGGAGTTTATATATAGAGTTCATATATATATAGTGGTCTATGCGTGTTGTTGTATGCCAGAGTTTTCTTCTTACCAAAAAATACATACTTTCATATTTGTGGAATGAAATTTATTAATTAATTTGGGTAGATTGTCCCTTTAAACTTATTTAAGCAGAACCTCCCAGACAATCATTATTGGTGTCGGTGGAATGTTTTCGAAATAATCAACTATCAGTGTCGGTTAGAAATTTCAATAAAATCTACATCTGAAAGTCTGACCAAAAATGAACCCAAAATTGGAACTGCATGGAGGCTGCTCCCACCATCTTGTAAATCATCTGCTATCTAACCTTATTCCATGGATCTTGTTCAAACTTCCCAGAAACATTATATAGCTCAGTGGTTCTCACACTGTGAGGCGTGAGGTAATATTCTGAATATTGTGTATTGAAGTTTATACTAATTTTTTTGGTGCTACCCTCCCCTTTCGGCAAATTTTATTGGTAGTAGTCCAGTAACCAGCTGGCAAAATGTGTTGTGGGGAACTCTGCAAAATATATTATGGAATTTTTAATTGTCACATTTTTTTGGAGAGGTGGGGAGTGTGTTTAAGGTAGGCTTGTAATAATATTATTTTCATTATACATCGGTATTTTCATTCGCAAAATCACTTTCAGTTGAAACCCAGGATGCATCCTACTGTTTTACCAAAAAAAACTGCTGTGTGATGAAATAAAGTTGCTTAGTAATTTTAATTATGCATTTTAGTTATGCAAGAATAAAATGTATTCCAGGAACGACAGTGTCCTCATGTTGTCTAACCTTTCGTCTTTGTAGGTAATTTGACGGGTTACACACCCAAGATTGTACTTTCTGTGCATGGACAGAAAGCCAATGCGCAGGTAAGACATCCTGTCAGATTTGCATTATGCTGATCCCTGTTCTGTCTCTTCTTAGTGTTGTTGAAATATCCAAGCTGTGTGGTGGCTGACTTTATGATCAAAACTGAATCTCCAAACACATACATGACTGATCATTGGTATTGGGCTTTTTGCCATTATATATTTCACCCATTCTGGTAGTAGCAAAACTTGATTCTGACTTGTACCGAATACCATCCCCCCAATATCCGATACAGCTGTTTTTTTTTTTTTTTGCTGGTATCGGCCCAATTCTGATAGAAGGTATCAGATTGGTGCTATCTCTAATAGCAACCATTGCATACCCCATGGTTTTCTTCAGTCGACTTTTAATTATTTGAATGTTTGCATATGCACTTCACAATCAATAACTGTCGCTCACATACAGTCACTGGAAGTGAATGGACACTGCAATTTTTAAGATGAATAGAAATACGTAATCTGAAAATCAAGTGGTGTGCATTGTCCCCTATAGTCCATTGCTTAAACCACACGTTACTTAACATGTCCGTCTCATTTAGTTTCATTAGTAGTCCATTTATTCTACCATTTACCAACACAATGACTTATGAATCTTAGGGCGCTTTTCCACTGCACCAGGTACAGTACTTTTGGTACTCTCAGTACTAGGGTTGCAAAATTCTAGGAATATTCTTGTTAATTCCCATACTTTCCCGTTAATTCCCATGGAAAGTTTCTAATGTGGAATATTTCCAAAATTCCCCAGCTTAACTTCCCATGGAACGGAAAGTTTCAGGAAAATTTCCAAAAATTTTCCAGCCCTTTGCAACCCTACTCAGTACTTCCATAAAGTACGAAAAGTATGGTATTTCTTTTATGTCAGTTTTCCTCTGCCGTAAAAACTGGTACTGGCGCCAAATGACATCATCACAAAGCGTGGCGTGGTATTTCTTTTGCTGAATTCAAACATGTTATTATGATCCTTCACTTTCCTGTAGTCCTGCTTAAGTTTTTTGATTTTCAACCGGCATTGTTCGGTGATTCGCTTGTGCCCCATTTCTTCCAAGCAGCTTGCTATCACCACAAATACTTTTTTATTTCGAGTCGTGCCATCCAAATCCAGCTGGATATGTTCATCCGACCATATGGCGATTAAAGCCTGTATTTCCTTGTTTGTCCATCCTTCCATTTTCCTTTTTTATATTTTTGTTTGTACTGCTTTTTATTTCGTTTCTTGCTGTTCACTGTGTGTTTCAAAAGATGGTGGTTGTATTTTGTGTTTCAGCAGCAGGCTATTTGCATAACCATTCGACAGCGAATACGTTTGCAAGTCCCACCCCAAAGTACCGAAGTACCAAAGAAGTACCCCAGCTGGTTTGGCACTTTCGGTACTGGAACTTTCGGTACTGGTACTCGTCCGGAAGTCAATGGAAAAGCGAAAGTACCGTACCGAAAGTACCGTACTTTGTGCGGTGGAAAAGCACCCTTAGGTAGAGCTGGGTACCAAACTTTGGTACTTTTGTGGTACTGACCGAAATACTTCAATCCTGTTGAGGATTGAAAAATTAATTTCCTTTTGGTGCTTAATTCTGATACCCGAACAGTAAATCTCAGCTTCTATGAACTAATAAGCAGGCAGCATACTTGTGCAAAAACCTAAAGTTGCTGGTGATTGACTGTCTAACATAACATTACACAGCCACAACACAGAGGCCGGAAGGAAAAAAAATGTATGCCCAGAGGGAAGCATGTGGCTCGTGTGTGTGTTGTTTTTGTCGTGTAGTGTAAAAAAGTGTAGCAGTTTCCAGACTGCAACCATTCAGACTGCGACTAAATTTAATAATTGCAAATATGCCCCTCATTTTTGCCTAAATATGCCCCCATATAATGGCTGACCACATCATCGTATATCACGTGAAACACCCAGAGAGAGCAAAAATTGCTGTGTGCATGCATGTGTGTGAGCAAGATTATTAAAACTTGGTCCAATTCAGTTCCTCAGAGGCACTGAATACGCTTACAGTGATAACTTGCTGATTGCTTGACCACAGCCACCAGCGCTAACATGGAAGTTATGTAGAAGTGCAGAAAAAGAGACAGAGCTGATGAAATCATTTTTGGACCTCAAAAAGATTGAATACCTTTTTGCTTTTGTCTCCATATATTTCCGACGTCGGTGATGAAACATGCCAGTGCTTATTAGCAGGATAACAATACATTGTTTTTTATTCTGTGAAAAATGAAGGTTCGATCTGCTGGCCAGGTCGTATAAGGAAAATCAGGGCTCTTAAGTCTCACGCATTGACCATGAGACATGCATTTAATCCAGTTCACATGCTTACACCTTCTGTTTCTCGGGCTAAGGAAGGGATAATGCCTTATTCATTAATTCATTATATTGAATTAATGGACAAGGTGCAGGACGAAAATAATTACGATTGTCTCGGAGAACACATGCAGCGCTCATGCAAAAGCAGCCGAGGTAAACGGATTTTTCAACATGCAAGAATCTATAAAATAATAATTACTTAAAATTGCAAAGCTTGCTAAGTTTTTTTTTTTTCTTCTATGAGAGTAAAAATATTTCAGCGAAACACCCACGCTAAAAGGTCCGTACAGAATTGAAAGTAAGAAAAAGCCTTATTTTGATATAGCTGATTAGCGATGTAAGAATTGCATGTGTATAATATGCTATGTATTGCACATCGTCCTGCCCTATAATATACTACAGCCATTTCACAAATTCAGTATAAAATACAAACCACAACAAACAAATTTATTTTTGTATAGCGCATTATCACAACATTACATAGTCTCAAAGCGCTTTACAGCATCCCCACCCAAAGCCCCCAGTGAGTAAGCCATAGGCGACAGTGGCAAGGAAAAACTCCCGAGAAGGAAGAAACCTTGGGAGGGACCAGACTCAAAGGGGGGGAGCCCATCCTCCAGGGGCCGGCAGGGAGAGTCAAATACAGTAAAATTTCAGACACAAACGGTGAGCAGGGGGGAGATGACAGCCGGTGCCAACACTCCCTCCAATCGCCAGGCAACCAGAAGGCAGGCAGCGGGTCATACATGGAAGATGACACAGGCAGAACGGCGAGCTGGATGCACGGACGTCATTGGTAGTGGCGACGTCACATGTTGCAGGGTGTGCTGGACATCTTGATAGTTTGAGGTCTCCAGGCAGCACCCCCCAGGAGGAGTAGGGGAAATAAAATATGCAATTAGTCAAAGTAGGGGAGACTATAGGCAGTGCTAAAAGTTAGATGAGTGCAATATGGAGTGCAATGTGCAAGCTCCGGTAGATATGGCTATGGCAGCATAAGTAGGAGAGAGAGGCAAGTGGGAATGCAGGCATGGGGAGTCCCTGAAATGTCAGCACTCCAATCCCACAAGCGATTGTGAAGCTAGAGTGACAGCACTGTCAATTCAGTTTATCCAAAGCCAATGGCACCTATCCCCACCCAGCTCTACACCTCACACTATTGGTCTAACTGGGAGTGAGGAATTAGCTAGAGCTAGAACTAGTGTCCCTATAAGCTAAACTAAACAGGTGTGTTTTTAGTCTAGACTTGAATATTGAGAGTGAGCCTGAAACCCGCACAACCAGTGGAACACCATTCCACAGCTGAGGAGCTCTATAGGAGAAAGCTCTGCAGCCTGCCGTAGCTCTTTCTACCCTAGGTACTAACAGACATCCCGCGCCTTGAGAACGAAGCAAGCGCAGGGGGTTGTATGATGTCAGCAGATCACTAAGGTATTCTGGTGCAAGGCCATTCAGTGCTTTATAGGTTAATAGCAGTATTTTATAGTCAATCCAAGACTTAACTGGTAACCAATGAAGGGAGGATAAGACTGGTGTAATGTGATCAAATTGTTTTGTGTTTGTGAGAACTCTGGCTGCTGCGTTCTGTACCAGCTGAAGTTTATGTAAGGATCCAGATGGGCAACCAGACAGGAGGGCATTACAGTAGTCCAGTCTGGAAGTTACAAAGGCATGTATTAATTTTTCTGCATCATGAAGTGAGAGCATCTTACGAAGCTTGCCTATGTTCCGTAGATGATAAAACGTTGTTCTAGTAATACTTCTAATGTGAGCATCAAAACATAGATCTGAATCAACTAGAAGACCAAGATTTCTAACCACCGTGTTAGGTTGTGTCGGAAGGCCACTAATGCTGAGGTGGTGAAACTTATTTCTTGCAGCCTTGGGACCAATTACCAGTACTTCTTTTTTTTCTTTGTTTAACATTAGGAAATTTTTTGCCATCCAGCACCGGATATCTAACAGACAATCTTCTAACCGAGATAGGAATGGTGTATCATCAGGGTTAACAGATATATATAACTGTGTATCATCTGCATAACAATGAAACCCAACATCATGATTTCTAATAATGTTACCAAGAGGTAGCATGTGTAGGGTAAACAGTGGTGGGCCCAGTACTGATCCCTGTGGGACACCATATGTGACTTTGGTGGCCTTGGATGATTCATTGTTCACATGGGCATACTGATAGCGATCAGTTAAATATGAGCGGAACCAAGGGAGTGCTGTCCCCATAATGCCAA